GGAAAAACTTGAATAAAGCTCATCTCATAATTCTCAATTTACACATTATAATATTATCATGGGAAGAAACTTACTTACACATATTTTATATATTAAACTTACACAAAATTTTTACTATTCATCTATCTATTTTTAATAATTAAAATATATCACGACGTTTTAAATGAAAAAAATAATTATTTTAAACAAATGTAAATAACTTTCAACCATGAAAAGTGAAGCGAAATAAATTATTAAGAGTTTATATAAATTTGATATATAAAATTTATATGCGAATAGATTCTTATTTATTATCATTTTTAAGTAAATAATAAAAGGAGAAAAAAACAAAAAAGGCTTATGAGTAGAAAGCTCGGATAACTAATGGCAGCAGTCACAGAACAGTGTAGTATAACTACCATCATTCCCGCCTTTTCTTGGTCTCTTTCCTAAAAGAGGAAAATGCAGCTCTCCATTTTTAGAAACTCTGCTCCTACATAACCTCCTTCCTACCTTCAACTCTTCTTCTGCATTCATCGAAACAACCAAACATGATAGCAGGTAAATCAATAATTGGATCCTTCTCCATTCTCTTCATCGCCGGTACAGTATGCATCGGCCTTACGGGTAGAGACGCCCAAGACGTCTTCGATGGGAGCGACATTGCCCTGCACACCACCTCAAAGTCTGTCGCGATCGTGTGTGGCGCCACCGATTCTAAGCAAATGTGTGTTGACAAGATGAATGACGTCCACTCCAAGAACGAGAGTTGCGAGCGCGAAGGACTATCTCAAGGCCGCCATCCATGCCATCCTTGACGAGGTGGAGTTGTTTTTGAACAAATCGGGTTCCATATTCGGGGATAAAGTCAGTAATCCGATTGTGAAGATGGCGAAAGGCGACTGCGATGATCTGTTGCAGTTCGCAATTGGAGAGCTCCAAGCTTCGTTTTCAATGGTGGGGGATGAGAGCATGCACACGCAGGAGCAGAGGGCAGCAGAGATCAAGAATTGGCTGAGCGCGGTGATTTCGTATCACGAATCCTGTATCGATCAGATCCCTCAACTGGAGTTACAGAAGCGGATTTCGGACGGGCTTTTGAATGCTACCCAATTGACGAGCAACGAACTCGGCATTGTCAGTGGCCTCAGCAGTATCCTTAACCTCTTCAATTTGCATTTGAACATCGGAGAACTTACGCCTCCGCGGAAGCTGTCAGATGAGCAGAAATCAGATGGCGGGAGAAAATTCCCTCATTGGGTCCCTAACACGGACATGAAGTTGTTGGGGAGCCAGAACCACGGTCTGGTGACGCCGAATGCGGTGGTGGCCAAGGACGGAAGCGGTCAATTCAAAACTATCATGGATGCCGTGAATGCTTATCCCAAAAATTATCAGGGGAGATATGTGATTTATGTAAAAGCAGGGGTTTATGATGAAACAGTATTAATTCCCAAGAGCATGGTTAATGTCTTCATGTACGGGGTGGTCCGAAGAAGACGATCGTCACCGGAAAAAGATCCTTTACTGGCGGTTACACTACCTCCAATACTGCCACATTTGGTGAGTTAGTTGATTAAGTATTGTTTTTGATAAAAATTGGATGGATTTTTGATAAATTTTGGATTTTGCAGCTGCACTTGGGGATGGGTTCATGGTGAAATCAATGGGGTTCAGTAACACGGCTGGTCCGGAGGGAGAGCAGGCGGTGGCTCTCCGGCTCATATCTGACAGGGCGGTGTTCTATAACTGCAGGATGGATGGGTACCAGGACACGCTCTATGTCCAAGCCCACCGTCAATTCTACCGGAACTGTGTCATCTCTGGGACTGTTGATTTCATATTCGGAGACTGTCCACCATCATCCAGAACTCTCTGATTATTGCGAGGAAGCCCTTGGACAACCAGAAGAATCTTGTTACTGCTCATGGACGTCAATACGAGAACGAAGTCACCGGTTTGGTTATCCAGAACTGCCGTATAGTCCCAGACCAAGCTCTGTTCCCTGTAAGATTCAAGATTCCCACGTACTTGGGAAGGCCATGGAAGAAATTCTCCAGGACTTTGATCATGGAATCTATACCCTTGGCGACTTAATTCAGCCAGAAGGGTGGATGCCGTGGGCCGGGTCATTTGCTCTCAACACTCTCTGGTATGCTGAGTTCGCAGACCGTGGCCCTGGTGCTGCAACCAACGGAAGGGTCAAGTGGAAGGGTTACCAGGGTGTGATAGACAGAGCTACTGCTGAGAAGTTCACAGCCGGACCATTCCTCCAAGGAGACATCTGGTTGGGCACCATCGGTATTCCTTGCTTCCTTGGCTTGAGCACATCATGAAGACTGGATGTGAGGATGTGAGGATGGTTACATTCAGCCTCCCCGCCTTCGCCACAAACATAAGTGCATGCTTGCAACTCCTGTAAAGCATGCAAACATTGTTTTTTCCTAATTATTCAATATATATTTTTTTATCTACGGTTTTCTTGTTTAATCAACACGCCCTGAAGATTGCAAATGTTAGAGAATGAATTTTAGGCATTTTGGCCATGAAATTTTGATATTAACTTCAGCATAGAAAACCCAAACATCCTCATAACAGGAAGGAGAACTAAGCAATAAGGAAAAGAAAAGAACAAAAAGAAACAGAAACAGCATGCTGACCAACTACAAGTTCAGTCATGGGTGGCAAATACAGAGGAAGCAAGATCGTTAAATGAAACAAATAATGAATATATTAAACTAGGAGCAAAAGCAAATGATCTGTGACAATGGAGCAGCATTGCATTAGTGATGCAAGTATCCGCGTGAAACCAGAAGAACTGTAAATTTGCTGTCTCGTTTGTCCCTCATGTGACACAATAATCACAATAATCACTCATTGCAATATATGCCAGGTTAAGAACAGTAAGGCAATAGCATTCAAAAACCTGTATTCAAGGTACTAAACAAACAAATATCTAACTGCCACACTTCATCCAAAGGTAAGCACTCCAAAGAAAAGAGTAAGATGCCAATAGCACTTCCAGTTTAATAAATAATAATACAACTTGGTAAAACAACACAGCAAAAGGAGACTGGAACAAACATGCATAGCCCAGCAATTCAAATCTTTTGACTTAAGGAAGGAGACACTAATGCTTATACACATGATTTGCTATAACATTCTTACTGGTTTACAAGTTAATTGACAACACTTTGTCAAGTCTGGCACCCATATGCAAATAAAATCAGGTTACCCTTGCACTGAAATGCTTGCCTTTGGCAATTAATTCACTGCATCAAGTTCTTCATACAGCATGCAAAAAATGCAACAAGGGAACTGTCACAGAGAGCAGGATTAAAAGCGAGTTCAGATAAAATAATGCACAGGACCACGCAGAAATAAACAATTCACCTTGATGAAGCAACATATAGAAAATATAGAAATCCTAAAAGGGCTGAGTACAGAAGAACAGCCCACTCCTAGGTCATCTCTACAAGACTTTCCATACAACCATGAAAAAGAGAGTAAAATCAACTGTAGTCCAATTCATGGCAATTGACAAATTGATAATTGAAATTCTTAATCATCAATTTTGGATACCATGACTCCCCTGTTAACGCTGCAACTTGGTTGCATTAACAGGAGAAACAGAATGCAATCCGTTACTCCCCTTGTCTTCAGACAAGCCATTTCTTTTGGTCTCTGCCTGAGCATCCACTCTTGATTTTGTTACAACAGGTCCATTAATTGGCCCTTTTTCTCTACCATTCTCCACGTTCTCTTTTGCTGCAAAAAACGCGAGTCTCTCAAGAGCATCCCTAGCCCTCTTCCTAGCCAGCGCAGCCTCCTTGACCTTCCTCTCCGCATCCATTCTTAAGTTGGCAGCAGCTTTAGTCATAGACACCGCCGAAAGCTTGGCAGCAGCCAGAAGCGCTTTAGAAGCCTCCTTCTCAATGAATCTGAGGCCCTCGTCCTTACCAAGCTCATGTACAGGGCCGGGTTTGGATCTGTTGTCGGGGTTGACATTGAAGAAGTTAAACCCAGGGTTGTAGCAAGTCGGGCAGATGAAGGCCGAGGAGTTGGAAAACTGAGAAGGGCAGGTGCGGTGACAAATTGCAGGGCACTTAAAACAGATGAGACGCTGGTGCGCCGGCGGTGGCTCGCTGAAGACTTCCAGACAGATAGGACAGAACAGACCCAGATGACTCTTGAGCACGCAGTTGGTGCAGAATCGTCTGAAGATACCCCTTTGACGGATGTTGTGGAGGAAAACAACGTCCTTAGCGTTACAGCTCCCGCATTGTGCCATCTGCTCTTGCTTCATCATCGTGTTTGCATTTGGGTATTTGACTATTTTAGGGTTACCCTTGAAATTTCACACCGTAACGGTAACCCTAGATGGAGACATGGATAATAGGACTCGACGATTGCTTGAATTATTGGAGGTAAAAAATGGGATCTTGAATTGATTTTGAAGTTTTACATCAAATTTGAGCTTCGGGAAGAAACGAGGAGAGGGGAGAGAGGAGAGTGGTGAAGGGAGATGATGAAGTTTAGCCGGAATTGTGTGGCGCGTTTGGCTGCGTTTTTTTGTCTCTTCTAGGAAAAAAGGGCCGTACCTTTGGACTTGTAGCCCCAAATTTGGTGAATTATTTCCTCGTGGAAAGATGAATAGGAAAGACAGTAATGCATACTTTGGAGTTTGGGCATTCATTACTGTAATTCCTGCATCTTGCAGCTAGAATGTTTCCTAATACAAGACCACCCAAACGGGGATGGAAAGGGCAAGATGAACAGAAGTATATTGAGATTGAGAAGGCTCAAAATTTCTGGGTTTCCTTGGAAAGACAATTCAAAAGGAAAAGAAAAGGAAAATCAGGGAGTGTGCTTCAGAATTCGGATTCTCACATCAAACTCAGCTCAGTGATCAAATTACATGGCTTCGACCTTCAATCTTTGATATTCCGTATACAATGCAAAGGGTGCCTATTGCAGGGAAGTTAACCTAATCAAACAAAGAATGGCTACCATTGGAAGTCCAAGTTTAACCCTTCGATCAGTCTGCCACCATGAACGGATCTACATCTCCTAGATCAGCAACCAGAGGTTCTAACTCCAATGGGTCCTCGTCTTCTGGGGCAAAATAAGTTGGAAAAGGAAGTTGTGAAATATCTGGTTTCTTGTAAAAAGCATCTCTTATGAATACAAAGTTCCCTTCTGCACCTGGGACCTGTTCAGAACAGAAAGATATGTGAACAATAGTACAGAGGGAAACTCAGTAGTCAGTACAGAGGACATTTCAATAGAAACTTCTAAGTTCTAACACAATCTATGTCATTTCCTTTGTGGCTACTAAGTTTCTAACACAATCTACTACATTTCCTCTGCAAATACAAGCATGATCCACTTTGGAATGGGCAATCCACCTATCCCTGATTTTCAGTTACCATGGCAAGCAAAAAGTAAAGTTCAAAATTCAAAGTTCAAACTGCACAATGGTTCTTGCTATTGAAAATGTTTCTGATAACTGTTGAGTTGAATTAAGAAAACAGTCTGCACTAATTCACAAAGCAGTAATTTTTGACAAGGTGGCAGCAACCATTTGGCTGAGCCAGCAGGGAGCCTGTTGCCCTTAGATTCAAATGCTTTGGTTCATGCACTTGCATTGGAAAGATAGTAAATTTGGTAAGATAAACAAACCTGGCCTCTCACCCACATCAAATTCCTTGCTGGATCTATCTTGTAGATCCATACATTTTTTACCGTTCTTTGCTTCCCACCCATGCGCCCAGGCATCTTTTTGCCTTTAAATACCTGTTAAAAAAAAAATGATTGAATCTCAAAAATGTGAACCCAAGGCTAGTGAATTATTGGAATGTACTAGGTTACAGAAAGACACAAGTCACAAATCATAAAGACTTCCAGGGAAAAAAACAAAACAGCATTCAACGAACCCTATAGAGAAATAACCATCTTTTCTTGAGACTGCAGCAGCTCATCATATTACTTTTTCCCAGAATGAATCACTTTTACAAAATTTCAGTACAAAGATCAACAGGTGATGCCTAGAAGATGGAAATTCATATGAAAGTAACACAAAGATGCAAAACTAAAATTCTTTTTTTTTTTTTCTTTTGAAAAATAGTTTGTATAAAACTAAAATCATATTAGATATTACATTATCTGTAATATTAGAGATATGATTAAAGCCTCTTGCAAAAGATAAAGTGACATAATGAATTTATATTGTAAAAACGCAAGCAGATAACACATTGAAGAATCACAAGCCACTAAATTGCCTGTATCAAGATATATTCCAGCCATACAAACCTTTCCAGGAGCATCCCTCTGACCAGTAGATCCAATAGCTCTGTGTGCTAATGAATTACCATGAGATGCTGGCCCTCCTTTAAATCCCCATCTTTTCATTCCACCCTGGACAAAAGGAAAAAGGGAAAAAAGAAGGAAAGCATGAAAGAAGTTATTTTCTTTATCCCAAATACATGAACAGTTCAAGCCATGAATGACTATTAAACCCCCAATAAATCCACATACCAACAAAGGACACAATCATTTTCTCCCAGGATCAACAAGAATTCAAAACAACAACATTCCAGGACCTCATTACTTGTTCTCATTGCAGTAACCCAATACATTGTATGCAAGGAAGGCAAAATTTTAATTATTCTCAACCTGGTCTTTGATGAAAGGATTGACAAAAACTAGAGGATATGACATAAATGCAAGATGCATATGCATCATGGGCATAAATATTTGAACTAATTAGCACAGCATACCATAAAAAATGAATGTCTATCAGCAAATCTTGAATAATTTTCTGTTAAAGCTGAGATGATCTCTGAGCATATTTGAACCTTCACCCACCTGGAAACCTTTTCCTCTTGTGATTCCTGTGACATCAACATACTGCCCTGGAACAAAATGGCGAACCCCAATGGATGTACCAACTGAAAGAAGTCCATCTTCTGTTACTGGGAACTCCCTCAATTTTCTCCTCATGGGAACCCCTTGAGCTCTAAAGTGGCCTACTTCAGGTTTTGTCAAATGCTTTGCTTTCTTCTGTCCGCAACCAATCTAACTAACACACAATTAAACAATATCACACAATTAAGTACCTGCCTACAAAATTTCCCACATCAACTGAAATTATATGCTAGTAGCTTAGCCAAAAAAAATTTCAAACTAATTAATTGAAATTCAACCACATTGCACAAATGCTTATCCATTCTCCAGTCCAGGAAATGCTAAATTCCAGAAAGCCAATCTATTTTGCTTTAGACCATCACTCAGCATCTAAGAGGACATGATCAAATCCAAAGATGATAACTTCAGAATTCATGTTGTATAAAAACAAGGAAGTAATCAAGTAAACAAGATCCCACCACTAGCAGAACTTCCAAAAGAATTAACATTAAAAAATGAAGCTACAAACCAGAGACTGAAGGATTAGCCATTTCCCTATAAGATTCAGTTCTAACTCTCCAAAAATATAAATACAACAAGCTTCATATAAGGAACTTAATAAAAAAAAAAAAAAATGAGAGCAACACCTGTAGGGCAAAGATTCCTTCTTTCTCAACAGTCTTGACTTGAGAAACGATATTATCATCGACCCAGAGAATACTAATAGGGATCCTAGCACCCCATTTGTCCCAAAGAGCGGCCATTCCACATTTAACAGCAATGACCCCAGTACGCTTCGATTGAGGCGTCATGACTCCAGGCTTCGCTTCGATGATTCGGGTGGGTTCGTAGACGATATCGGCGCCATCAACCAAAGCTTCACTGCTAAATCTCCGACATAAGTGAAAAGTCAGCGGCGTCCGTGTTGGTCCAGGAGCTAAAGACGCTCTGGGGTTTACTGAGAGGAGATGGTGGAGACGAGAAATCAGGCCTCTCGATAAGGCCGACATGGTTACTCAGAAAGATAATCTCGACGGAAGTTTGATATCTCAATAAGTGTTTAGAATTGAATTGCAGATAATGAATAGGGTTTTGAGGAAGGACGAGGAGGAGGAGGAGGAGGAGAGAGCGGAGTTTGGAAGGGGAGGGAAAGGGAAGACAAGTGATTCAGTGTAGGGTTTTAGGATGGGCAGTGTTCCAGTGCATCTGTTCTAGACAGCTCACTCGTAACGACGACTTCTTATTGGTTACATTTCTTTAATTTTATTGTTATTCTGTCTTTTTTTTTTTTTTGAACAGTACCTGAAATTGTTATTCAGTTTTATAGATGTTTAACAGCGTGGACACGTAAATAAATCACTGTAAATAGGAAATCATTTTAAAGTGGCTTAAGTATTGAAAAAGGACCCTAAGTTTTACTAAATTCTCAATTGAGGTCCTCAACATTTATTGCACTCAATTAAGGTTTCGAATTCACACAAACTCTGAAATTAGGACCCAATTAGATGGAATCTTAACATCCGTCAATTCTCACTTAGCTGTCCGTTGCAGTTTATTACTCCCTCAATACGTGGCATGCCAACTAGACCCAGAAGGCTGATTGTAAAAATTTACATTCCTACGTGGCATGTGTGATCCCATGGCTCATTTTTCTCCCATCTCTCTTCTTCTTTCCTATTTCACGATTTGGGGGTGAGATTCCTAGAATTTTCAATCTGCCTCTCTCCATGCAAGATCTTCTTCTCCACCCAATAGCAGCCTACCCAATCCTTGGAACTTCTCCGCCCAACAGCCTGCCTTTCTCCCTGCAAGATCTTCAAAGGCTCTATGCAGACATACTTCCATTGCAACTGAATTCCCTCAAAATTATGGACGACTTCTTCTTTGTTGTTTTTGGGTTTTGCTAACCTTGAGCCACTCTGTTTTGGGGCTGTTCTTGGTGGCGAGATGGAGTTCGGTGGTGTCATAGAATCGTTACACAATGGAGGATGACGAATATCCACAGACTTTGGCTTCCTTGTAAACAAGACCTTCTTTGCAGAGGTACCTTGTGCTCGGATTGCAATGTTTGTCCTCCGAGCAAATGCACTGTCTTTCTAGTGCACACCCGTTGCCTTTATCAATAGCTTTGCTTCCCAACAGTATCTGATCCGACCATTTGCTAGAGAATATGCCTTGCGGGTCTAATTGTTTCTTCTCCGCAATGAATTTGTTGAAGTTTGGGTAATTACTCTGCACTCCCAAGAACCCAAGATTCCTATTCTTTGCCCAATGTGGCCGCACACCATACTTGAAGAATGCCATTTGCTCGATTTCTTCCCAGATGTCTTCGTTTAGCCTCGGGGTGGAAGCATTGTCCACGCGGTAATAGTTGAAATCGATCACCACAGAATCCTCCGGTTGGCTCAGTATGTCAGCGAAGCCTTGATGTAACGGATCATAATGCTGTTGTAGATATCGGCTCCGCAGAAGTTCTTTGGGTTTAAGCCTCGCAATTTCTTCACGTTGCGGATGAAGTCTCTGAATTTACGAATTATATTATATTAAAAAGGTGTTGAATAGTCAAAAATAAAAAAAAGAGTCTGGGAAAAGGAGTCTTGTGGGACCACCTGTTATGCGGAGGGGAAGATCCCGCCTGATATGCCATGTTGGAAAATATTTTTTATAGTCAGCTTTATGGTTCCAATTGGCATGCCACGCATTGAGGGGGTAACAGATCGCAATGGACAGTCAAGTGAGAATTGATGGATGTTAAGATTCCATCCAATTGGGTCCTAATTTGAGAGTTTGTGTGAGTTTAAGACCTTAATTGAGTGCAATAAATGTTGAGGACCTCAATTACGAATTTAATAAAAGTTAGGGTCCTTTTTCAATACTTAAGCCTTTTAAAGTTATATTGTTTTAATATATTTTTATTAAAAAATTAAAATATCAAAATTTTAAAACATAAATTAAAATATTTTTTTATTAATTTTTATAATATTTTATTAAAATTACATCATTTTAAAAATATGTGGCGGATAATTACTAATCCTATTTTTAGTATTTTACAGGCATTACTTATCCGCCAAGAGAGAATCAATGTCCCCTTCTCTCCTCTTCTTGTCTCTAAGTTGTCCATTCCAATCTTGCAGGCATTGCTTCTCACTCCCGACGGCCGCTCTCCGCTCTCTAATGCCTTAGTCTCCTCGCCGACCTCCAGATACCAGTCTCAAGCTTTTGTTACGCCTTTTTTATTTTTATTTTTTTTCAAATTCCCATTTCTTCCTGCCACGTAAAAAGACTTCAAATTTCTTGCTTGAGCTTCATCTTCTGTTGCATTTATCGATTTGATCTCATTTAAGTCGCTTTGCATCTCGATTTTGTTCAAAGTTCTATGCTTTATCTATGTTTCTGCAAAATTTTGTTAGTATTTGCAGGTCCGGCCATAAATACTAACAAAACTTGAGATGTTTTAATTTTTTTTAACACATATCCATTAAATAGATTTATATTTTGAGATTTTGTTTTACTTAATTTTTTACCCATACAGTTGAAATACACCCTTTTTTTTTAATGTATCATGTGAAAAATAATTAAGTGATCCAACAATTGCAAGGCAGTTACATAGTCTGTAACTATTTGAAGTTTTTGAGTGTTTGTAGATGTATTCAGAACATATTTCAGCTGGCATACTGACTAGACAAGTTCTGGAGGCAGGTGTAACATCCATATTAAAAGTGAGAGACTTGATAGGAACAGGTAAAGCATGCGTACGAAGAATATTCCTTAGAAGATTGAAGTTTTGGATGATGACGGTGCTGCGGCATTCTCAGAAAGTTCTGCTTGACAGACCATGACATCGGGGCTGTGATTTTGGACTTAGCTCTCAAGCTTGATATTTTGGACATTTAGATTGAAGTGCCGTTATTCATAATATGTGTCTTTGGATACATGGTTGACAAGCCATGAGACAGGAAGTAAGCCTCTGACAAACTTGTACAAGGAAGAGCTGCTTCAAGCTTCAAAAGCTGATCCCATGTTAGCAGACATGGTGGATGGTATCTGGGTTAAAGGTTGCTACAAAAGCCATTACAGCACAATGAAGAAGTTCTCGAGCGATGGTAGGAAGCCAGAAGAAGTAAATGATATTCTAGGATTACAGATCATGTTGAATCCTAGAACTTGAGAGATGGTAACATGCCTACTCACCTGCTTCTATCCTTATGGAAAGAAATGCCTCGTGGGACAAAGGATTAATATTTTCCAGGCCTAAAGCAAATGGGTATAGGAGTTTACATATGGCAGTTGATGTGAGTGACGATGCCAAAGACAAGGTCACTCATGGAAATTGAGACGCAAATTAGCGAGTTGGATATATTGGAACTAGCGAGTAGAAGAAAGTCATTAAGCAATTGAGATTCATGAACTTTCAACTATATTTTATTTATATTTAATCAATTATAACCAGGGAAAAAATTGAAAAATTTTCAACAATTACATTATAACTAGGAAAATTCAGTTTCACGTACGTGCAGCCTCATATCTCCTTCAATGTTGTTTTCAAGCTCCGTTGACAGCAGTTCTTGGCTCTGAGGAATGCCTAAATCACTAGATAGCTTTTTACACAACTGCAGGCATCATCAAGTTGTGAATTAAATTAGAGAAGATGCAACGGGGAGAGGGGAGGAGATAGAAAGACTGAGAACAAGTATTACCTGTCTATAGGTCGAAGAATCACCATATGATTTTCTTAATTCAACTACATACAAGGATGAACTAATCTCAAATACCTGATACATAGTTAGAAGATATCTGTTATTGAGGTTTCTAAAAACTCTAAGAACAAACTTAATTTGAAATTTTACAAGAAATTACCTCGACTGCTACTGAAAGACTGCCCAAACATCTCTGACCTCTGTGTTCTTGTGTTGCTTTCAACTAAAACGAAACAACATACAGATTCTGAAGTCAAGATTATTACTGATATATAACAAATTTGAGGTCTAGTGGAACAAAACTAACCTTTCCATTTTTCTTTTGGACTCTAAATCCCATTTCTGTCACAGTATCTTCGATCCTTGCGAGCAAATCTTTTGCTGAATGATTGGAGGTAAATCTGATCTTCCTTTCAGACACACCCTGTACAGACTTTGCAATTAGACAATGTGGGAAATTTGTGAAATTAAGTGAAAGAGATGCTGATACTTAGATTTTGTTCTCACCTCGTTCTCAAAGAAACCAGAGAGGTCCAGACACGAGGACATTCCGATCAACTGAAAAGCGTTGATGAGGGTAGGTGATTCTGGACACTTGGGTGCAGAAGATGGCTGTGGCAGAAGAATGATCCTGTCAATTGATGATGCAAAATAACTCAATAATTATGGCCTCAGCAGATATGAAAGTTTAGGAGTTGATACCGGTTCACTCATTGAGAAGGCTTCATCATCAATGTATTTATCTTCCTCTTCATCATCTGGAACTGTGGGAGTATAATCTTGCTTGAACCAAGCATCTTCCTTGATACCCACCATTGTTATTCTAGTATCAGGATTTGGATCAAGAATCTTTCTTATCAAGTTCTGAGCTTCCGGTGATATCCATTTAGGAATTTGAGTATCTCCTTTGAATATCTGAAATCCCTCAAGAGGATTAATCACAGCATAGATGAGAAAATGGAAATACAAAGTTTTTCCATAGAAATGATCAAAGCAGACTTTGAGTACCTTCTGATATAGAACCACCATATTTCTATCATCGAAAGGGAGAAATCCTGTAAGGATAACATACAAAATGACACCACAGGACCATATATCTGGAGTGGAACCCTGGTACCCTCTATTAGCAATAATCTCTGGGGCAACATAATTAGGACTGCCACAGGTTGTATGAAGTAACCCATCCTCCTGAAAATTTACAATGCAGTTAACCAAAGAACAAGATTTTTGTCATTGACATTTCCGGTTAATTTAGTAGAATACTTTACCCTAACATGTTGAGGCAATGCACTGAGGCCGAAATCAGATATCTTTATGTTTCCCTTTGCATCAACAAGAAGGTTCTCAAGCTGCAATTCAGAGAACCACAGGAGCTTTTCTCAGAATGGCATAACAGAAAGAGAAAAACGAATAACCATTCCTGTCATGTTATAAGATGTGCGGAGAATTCAGAAGAGGGGTAAAGACAACCTTAAGATCGCGGTGGAAAACCCCTTTTTGATGACAGTAATTCACACCATCAATCAGCTGCTGGAAAAGCTTCCTCCCTTGAGTTTCAGAGAGTTTTCCACGGTTTGCCTGTAAAATATGTATATGAGCAGAGCTAAGAAAATGAACAAGTTCAATAGTAATGCTGCATCAAAAACAAAATATGAACTCCTTACAATTCTGTCAAACAAATCCCCTCCAGGTACATACTCTAGCACCATGTAAATCTTGGTTTTGCTTGCCAAAACCTGCAAAATCCCATCAACAAAAACACACGGCATCATTATAGCAATTTAATAAAGCGCCAATCCAAAAAAAAAAAAGGACAACTTAATCAAGCAACATAAACAGCTAAAACCGACATTTCTAAATTAATCTCCCATAACCTTATTTAAACAATCAACAAATTATTACATCATTCAGTAGATCATTATCCCCGGGACAAACTTGCACACGTGGACCCTGAATTTCAAGTCAAATGTGCATAACATGGCATTATTGGTGAAAAAGAGTAGCGTGAAGGAGATTAGCATTTAGCTATTAGCCACTAATCTAACTATTAAATATTCAATTACCTTTCCCACAAGGCAACGTGAATGTTAATTGGGAGGCCCATACCCCCCTAATATTTCATTTTCAATGCAGGATGAGATTGGGATCAACATGCAAAAGAATAAAATTAAGGATAATCACACCCCCACTAATGTTTTTTTATTATTTATTAAAATTTCAGTATTCTACATTAAATTTGATTAATCTTGAATCAAACTACATTAAACCCGTTAAGAGAAGCTTTCACGGCATCGATTTTTTTATTTATAAAATTTAAACTCAAAGTTTTATTTTAAAAAAAATCAAATTCCTTTCAAAATCTCATTAATTTTACTAAGCCTAAACAGTGTGTAAAATGGACCACATGTGGGCCAGCAGCCAAATCAAACAAAAGGGCTTCAGGGGACCCCAGGTCCCCACAAACCTTTCAAGTTCCCCAAAGGATTGTAGGACCCACCCACGTGAAACCCGTTTATTATTATTTCCCAAATCCTACTCGGACTGGATACCGGGTCCCCCCTTTCAATAAAACCGCTGGCCGGCGTCCGAGTTGGCACTTAGACGTGTACAATTAGATGTTCTAGATTGTAGCTATTACGGATTCAACGGCGATGAATTTGAACACGTCAGACGGAACAGAAACAAGAAGAGTCGAAGAGACGCGTAGTGGTAATTGGAAAATGAGACCATAGTTTTGATCGATTACAAATCCGTGAGGAAAATACTATCCAGAAAAATTCACCAGATATGACTATTCTTCATTTTCCTTTATCATTGAAGATAAAAATAAAAAAGAGATTTGAATACCTCATGTAATCGAATCACGTTTGGATGTTTGAGGAGTTTCAAGGTGGCGATCTCTCTGATTATCTGCAATTTGGCGTTCATAATAAAACATTAATGACTAAATTTTGTACAATTTGATATCGAGATGGGAATCTCTTAAAAAAAACCCAAAACACAGAAGAAAGGAATCGAACGAAGGGAACATAGAAAGAAAAGAAAAAATACCCGGATCGATAAAGAAAACTAATATATTCATACACCCAGAATGCAGAAAGGCATTACAGGGAAAAAGAAAAAGATTGTTGGAACAGTAGAGAAGAGAGACGAACCTGTTCGTTGATCTTGGGGCTGACGATTTTGTTCTTTTCAAAAACTTTAACGGCGAACTGCAACCCAGAATCGACGTGCGTGGCCAATTTCACCTTCCCGAAATTTCCTTCCCCTAGCAGAGTCCTCCCAATCTCGTATTTACCCAGTTGCACTGCTCCCTTCTGCTTCTCCTCTATCTTCTTCTTAATTGCCATCCACTATTTTTCCCGATGAACCCAGAAAGCGAACTTCTTTCTGTTTATCTGTGTCTCTATATATCAATGGTGGATTAAAAAAAGATTTGGAGTTTGTTTTAGCAATCTCACCTCCCCTGTATCTCCTATAAATATGTATTGTAGATAGAGATACGAGCTTCAGGAGTTTGTGATTATTAAACCACCGATCCCATGCCAGCTCAAGAAAGCTTTT